TCAAGCAATCCTACTCCATCATCCAAATCACTACCACAATTCCAAATGTGTGCTTATGAGCAATCCTACCAACTCCAACACATAATGGCTTCAGTCCATAAATAACTAGTAAAAAATAACTAAAATAGAGTAACTATAATTTTTGTCTTTTTGTGGTAGTGGAAATATTTTTTTAAATTTCAAAAATATTTTTTTAGCAATTATTTTTGTTGGCACAATGCACCAACTGAGACAAACGAATCCATCTTGAGCCAAACCCAAAGCTAGATAACATTTGTAACAAACAATTCCAGTTAACCGTATCATACGCTTTGTGGAAGTCCAATTTAAGAATGAGACCCTTCTTCTTTGATTTTTTCCACCAATCCACCACCTCATTTGCTATAAGCACTTCATCCAAAATATTCCTTCCGCCCACAAAAGCAGACTGAACCTTGTCAATCACACTCTGCAGAACTTGCTTGAGTCTATTGGCCAACACTATAGCCAACACTTTGTAAGGAGAATTAATCAAGCTAATGGGTCGATAATCAGTAAGAGAATTAGGGTTTTCATTCTCTGGGATGAGAGTAACAAAGGAGCAATTTGCCCCATTACCCAATTTACTATTGCTGTAAAACTCCTTCATGAATTTCATGATGTCCTTTTGCAAAAATTTCCAGCTTTTTTGAAAAAAAAGCATATTGAACCCGTCCGGGCCCGGGGCTTTGTTGCCATCACATTCTTTAATGGCAGTCCATACTTCTTCTACCGAGAAGTCTCTCTCCAAAATGCCAGCTACCTGATTAGCTTCTATCTTCTTGAATTCTCCACCAATTCTTGGCCTATATCTCCAATGTTTGGTAAATAAATTCGGGAAATGATGGCACACTGGTTGTTTAAGCATACTTGGTTCTTCAACCTCAACCCCGTTAACCTCCAGAGAAGCAATCAAGTTTCTATTATGCCTCTTTGTGGCCATAATATGAAAATTTCTGGTATTTCGGTCACCTTTAAAGGCCCAATCCATCCTAGATTTTTGAACCCACAACCACTCATATGAAAATTTCTGGTATTTCGGTCACCTTTAAAGGCCCAATCCATCCTAGATTTTTGAAACCACAACCATTCTTTCCTTTTGTGTTTGTTGGTGTTTATTGTCTTTCTTTATGTGTGTTGGTTTGTTAGTTTTGGTTTTCTTATGTTTGGATGAGGTTGGCTTCGGTGTTTGTGGTTGGTTACTCACCAACTCATGATGGTGTGCCAGCATATGATTGGGCGGCCTTATCGATGCCAACCTAGTTGGGATTGATTTGGTTCGTTATGATGCTTTTTGCACTCATCCTTCTCATTTCTTTTATTGATGTAATTGTCTTCTTCTTCATCAATAAAGTTTCTTTTCTTTGCTGATAAAAAAAGCATGGGTGTGGACATTGAAAAAAATGAAAGTGGAGAGGAAATCGACATTCTAACACTGTAACAGTGCTATAATTTAGCAATAGCATGCCCATAGAGCAATTGTGCATTCAAGATGCTCTTAAGCACACATGAGACTTTAATATATATAGCTTAGAAGCGTTGGGAATCCATATAACTTCCTGTGCTTAATTTATTGTGATGGAAGGCCAACTCTTCCATTCTATTAGACCCATTTTGCATGTGTGCCTGATTTTTTGTTTTATTTAATCAATTGTGTTTTTTTTTTTTTATTAATTGTGATTTAACATTGATATTTGTGGGCATTTTTTTATCGATGGGTTTGTTTGGATTGAATGCTTTTAACAAAAATTTTAATTAGCTAAAGCCTAAAATATTATTCTTTTTTGTGAAACCAATACCTTTAACAAGTTCTGCTCCTTGCAATTCACTGTATTACTTTAGAGTACGAAACTACTTCCTTTTTGATGTTATAATTAATAATTCCAAGAATACACACCACATATCATTCAGTTCAAATAAAAAATGTAATTGTATTGCCTGAGGATTAAATTCAACAACATTAGGTTCACATTTCACCGTAAGTATACAGAACTACTTTACCTAATAACACAGTACCTCCAAGAAAAGATCACCAAAACATATTTTATCACCACTACCACACCACTACTACAACCCAACTACGTTTCCACCACCTCCACTACCATCACCATCACCATTTCCATTGCCGCTACCTCCACCACCACTACCACCCCAACACCTCCACCCTGCCGCCACCACTAACACATCTATTAGCATATTAGTTTAAAGAACAAAACCAAACATGGAAAAACGTTTTTTACATTTTTCAAAAAATGTATTCTATAGAAAATGTTTTTTCATTATAAAATATTTTTAGCTCTTAACGGAACTCTTAAAGTTTGTCAAGCTATATACTCTACTATTGCCTAAACTAACAGCACAAAGAAGAGAGGCAAATGAAAATTTTCCAAACTGTCCTATATTTGCAAACCCCCGAAGCACCATTGTAGATTATCAAACTGGCTACCATTTTGGGATTCTGCAACAACACTATGGCCTTTTCAGTTTCTTTTTTTAAAAAATATTTTTGTCCCTAGCATTAGAAACCATTCCACCTAACTGGACAAGCATTCTCAGAGATCAAAACCATGAAGCAAATGAGTGAAACTTCAATGAAAGGTATACTAGAGTTCGGTTGTCAAAACATGGCCCACATAAAGTGCAACATAAGGGAGAATTACAGAATGCTCAATAGAGCAGGCAAGGAAAATGATGAAGAAATGCAGATAGCAAAAGATACCACAACAATATCTAGAACAAGCACTGATGACTACCAAATTTGAGATGGCAAAATATTCAACATTTTTAACACTAGGAAGCTGATTCTCATTGAAAGATTATATGACAGGTTTTACAAAAAGTAGCGACTGCTCCAACATACAGAACAACATGCTAGCTCAAACAAGGGATAGACTTTCAATGAAGTTATAGCTATTATAATAACAAACTAATTATAACTAGTAGCATAATGGAGAGAGGAGGGTGGACACCGGTGACCCAGAAAAGAAGGCCAAGATATCAGCAGATTCACTACAGGGGTGTAGGCTTCATCACGATTTTTGTCGACAATCTGCCGGAATCTATGGCGTCACGAAGTCTTTTTAATCTGTTTAGTAGCTATGGTGTGGTAAAGGACGTATTCATCCCAAATAAAAGGAGGAAAGCTACTGGTTCAAGATTTGGTTTTGTTCGGTATGACTGCTCTACAGCAGCAAGGGTAGCAGTCCAGAAAGCGGATGGAATATGGTGCGATGATAAGAGTTTGAAAGTGAGATTGGCAGAGTTTGGAAGCAATGCTCAGTATCCAAAGAAGGATGAGGCTAGAAAAGGGAAGAGTGCACAGACGGGGCAATGGAAGCACGGTAAAATTACATCAGGGTACAATGGTCAGAGATCTTTTGCTGATGTAGTCCAAGGTATACGAAAGGAGAATACTGTGAAAACCATAAATGTACAGGAAGTTGGAAATGGATGGCTTTATGAAAGTTTAGTAATTAAGCTAAAATCCTTGTTCTCCTTTAATGCTTTCAAAGAAGAGTGCAGTAAACGAGGTCTAAAGGAGGTATGCATAAAGGATGGTGGTGGTCGGATAGCTCTTCTATTTTTTCAGTCAGTGGAACATCTGAAGGAGTGGAAGGGTAGATTAGAGGATTGGATTTATGAGTGGTGTGATTCAATGGACGAATGGGAGAGGGGCAAGGTTATTCAACAAGAAAGGTGTGTGTGGCTGGTTTGTCATGGCATTCCTTTTAATCTCTGGAATGTTCGCACCTTCAAGGCGGTGGGTAACATCTGGGGAGAAGTTGTTCAACAGGATGAAGCCATGAGTTTTCCGAAGTCTTTTGTGTGTGGTAAAGTGAGGATTATTACTAGTAGTTGTGAGTTTATTAATCAAGTGATCCTTTTAAATTGCAACGGGCAGCAGCAGCCAGTAAGGGTGATTGAAGAGTCATTTTTATCGGCAAGTCTAAGACCAGGGGAGTGCAGGCATCAGAGTTCTGAGGGTTTACTCTCAAGCTTCGGCAGTCAGAGTGCCATGAATTTCGGCGTCAAAGATGGAAGGGTGGTGGTAGGCATAGAAGGTGGTAGTAGGCCTGATGAGGTAGCTTCTAATGATGTGGTAAGTGTAGTGCAAGACACAGTTGAGGGGACTGCACACGTTATGGAAGAAAGGGTCAGGAGGGTGGTTCAACCCATGGTAGGGATGTCAGGAGCTGGCTTGGAAAATTCAAAAAATGTGGGCAGTAGTCATGATGATGTTTTGAAGAGTGTAGGCGAAGTTTCAAAAGAGGTGGCTGTGCAGCCCCAATTTTTAGTTGGCAGTAATCATATGGATGGGTGTTTGAAGAGCCTAAGTGGGCCTGAACTTACGAGGCCTAATTTTAATTTGAAAGTTGTGATTCCTAGAGCCCAAGGTGGAGATTGCCTTATTAGGCCAGTTGGGCTTACTTTATCTAATTTGAGTGACTGTGTGGCCAGTTCATAGCTCCTTGCCAAGAGAGCCCAATTATGTATGCAGACTGGTGAGGGTAGTTCAGGTCAGGTTAGGGGGGAAATTGCTCCTATCTGTAAAGGCCAGGTCGTTGTAAGGAGGAGTGGTGCAGCAAAAAAGGGTGGTAAGGCTCTTCAGAAAGGTAGAATTCTACCTCAAAGCTTCAATAGGGGTGCCATTTTCAGAGCAACTGTTGCTGCAATTTCTAGCTCACACTCGGCTTTCAGTGAATCAAGCAGAAGAAAGGGCAAGCTGATGAAGGAGGCTAAAGCAACAATACAACTTGGAAAAAAGTTAGGCATTGATTTTGGTGGAAAGGAGGATAACGTGGCAAAACAGATTGTACAGTTGGAAACCCGAGATTTGGAGAGGATTACAGATGGGGTTCGGGCAGATGAAGTCTGATTACCCAATAGAGGAGTTTAGGTGTTTTAAAGTCTGTCTTATGAAGATAATGTCTTGGAATGTGCGTGGTCTAAGTAGGCCAGAGAAAAGGAGTAAAATTAGGAACATGTTAAAAGAAAGAGGGGTGGATGTGGTGTTAATTCAAGAAACCAAGAGAAGAACTTTGGAGGTAACTCTCATTAAATCTATTTGGCCTTTTGATAAAATGGATTATATGGGAGTAGATGCTGATGGCAGGGCTGGAGGTCTACTGTGTATCTGGCATCCTGATAGATTCAAGGTTGTTGATTGTTGTGGCTCCAGAAATTTTATTATTTTATCAAGTATCAGTGGTCAGTCCTTTGAATGCTCTATGGTGAATGTCTATGCTCCCAACGATGTTGGCAAAAGAAGACAATTATGGGAATCTTTAAAGAATCTGAAAATCTCATACCCGAATCCTTGGTGTATGGGTGGAGATTTTAATGAGATTAGATTCCTCAGTGAAAGGAAGGGGTGCTCCAGGAGGGATAGAGGTATGAATGATTTTAATGAGCTGATTGATCAGTTGAACCTTGTTGATTTGCCAATGAAGGGAAGAAGATTCACGTGGTGTAATGCACAAGATGGGAAGAGATGGAGTCGGATAGATAGGTTGCTTCTGGAGAGTAGGTGGCTTGAGCAGTTCTCCTTCAAGCAGTGGGGACTGCCTAGAACAATTTCTAATCACTGTCCTGTCATAATAAAGGAGGATGAAAGAAATTGGGGCCCAAAACCTTTCAAATTTATTAATGCTTGGTTACTTCATCCTAATTTCATATAAGTAGTGAAGAGCTCATGGGAGGTACAACTTCAACTGGGTTGGGCGGGGTTTAGATTGATGAGAAAGCTTGCCTCACTCAAAGTCAGTCTTCGAAGATGGAATGTAGAGGTGTTTGGTCATGTGGAAGCAGAACTTAAGAATGCGGAAGAGGATTTACACGTTTTGGATTTGGTGGCTGAAGAAAGAGCATTGTCAGAAACAGAAGCAAATTCAAGGAGAGAAGTCAGAGGGCTAGTTTGGAATTTGCATAGAAGGAAGGAGAGTTTGTGGCATCAAAAATCTAGAATGCTGTGGGCTAAGTGTGGGGACAAGAATACAAGGTTTTTTTTTTCCATATGATGGCTAGCTCTAGGCAAAGTAGAAACCTCCATGATTCAGTTGTGGAAGATGGGGTTAGGGTGGTGGAACCTAGCTCAATGAAGATAGTTGTTCATAGGCATTTCATGAAATTATTCTCTGAGTCTTCGAGCTCTAAGCCTAAGCTTCTTGGCCCCTTTGCATCCATTTCTTCTACTGGGCAGGTAGAAACCTTAGAAGCAGTATTTTCAGAGCAGGAAATTTGGGCTGCGGTTAAAGATTGTGATGGTAACAAGGCCCTGGGTCCGGATGGTTTCAGTTTGGCCTGTATCCAGAAATGCTGGCAGATAATGAAGGGTGAAGTTTTACACTTCATGGATGAGTTTCACTCTAATGGGAAGATTGTCTCAGGCCTTAACAGCTCTTTCATCACCCTCATACCTAAACGGGTGGATCCTTGTGAGTTAAGTGATTATAGGCCCATTAGTCTTGTTAACTCAGTTTACAAAATTCTTGCTAAAGTGCTATCAAAAAGGTTGAAAAGAGTGTTGCCACGAATCATTAGTGAAGTTCAAACAGCTTTTTTGGGTGGCAGATCTATTCTTGATGGTGTTCTGATAGCAAATTAAGTAGTACATTGGTGGAAAACTGCAAAAATGAGAGGCATCATATTAAAGTTAGACTTCGAAAGGCATGATTGTCTTTTTCAATTTGGAAAGTTAGGAATGATTGTCTTTTTCCTCAAAAGAGTGTTGATGGGTTTGATTTGGCTGAGTTGGTGAAAGTGAGGATAGCTCTGTGGTGCAAGCATAGCTATGGAGGTTTGCAATATTCTGTGGAAGACATTGTTTATAATCTGGACAGAATTAAAGTCTGAATGAGGTCCAGGTTTGCAGGTTTTGTGCGTTTGTAGGGCTGCAGTTTGGTTTGTTTGATCTGCTGAGGTGCTGGGGTTTGGGTGGTTTTGTGTTGCTGGGGATTGCTGGGCTTTGGGATGTTTTGTGCTGCACTCAGATTCTAGTTTTGCTGGGGTGTGGGATGTTCTGCAGTCTGGTATGTTCTATTTTGAACCAGGAGCAGAGTGGAGGTCAATAGCAAGGTTTGTTCAGGTTTTCAGCAAGGAGCTAAGTGGAGGCCGGTTTGTGTGTGTTGAGCTGGTTAGAGTATGGCTGTGGTGCAATCCTCCAAATGGTGTATGCTACAATTTAAACATTCTGAAGGAATCCTCTATCTATGCTATTTTGCTGTTGGTTTGAGGGTTGGAGTTATCTGGTTTTTGAGCTGACCTTCAGTTTGCTGTTATGCTCTTGGACTGCTTGTTTGTCAGGTTTTGTTCTCTTTTGCTTGTTTATGCTGTGTTGTTTTTTTTCTTTTTCTTCTTCTTCTATTGGTTTCTCACCAACTAGGAGGTTGGAGCTTCGCTTAGCTCCAAGCTTCTCTTTATTGATGTTTCCTCATTACTCTGTTCGGTTTTCATCAATAAAGTTTTTTCGTTTTGCCGATCAAAAATAATAACAAACTGATTCATGAAATTCACCTGGCTGAAAATCAAGAAGCACCTTCCATGTCTTGCGATCCAAATTATAAGAAATGAAATTGCCATAAATATTAAACACCAGTGCAAAATCATTTTCATTTGCTCCCTTCACAATACACACCACAGAAAATTGGTGAAATTTCTCAGGGAAAACAGATTCTATAGATCTCAGATTGACCCAGTACTTCACTTTCCAGTAGCAGTAGTTCTTGTCAATCTCAAGAATTCTGAATCTCAATGGCAAAACCTGTCGATTCTGAATAAGAAACAAATGACCATGACATTTACCAAAATACAGAATCTTATCATCAGAAAGAATTTTAGGCTATGGAGGCATTGGACTTCGTGTCAGATTCTTAGCATCAACGTCAAATCGAATGTAAAGGTTAGTGGAAGTCATCCAATGAATAGCTCCATTCGAAAACACCCTGCGTCTCAAGGAGTGACATGGTGGTGCAATGACACGAATGTGTTTCCAAGATGCACTCTCTGATGAGTAGATATCAATTACACAAGAACTTCCAGACCTTCCATGAAGATCAAAAGAGTAATTAACCAATACAACCTTGTAGTGAGGTGATTTTGAAGGGTCAAAAGCCAAGTAAGCACCAAACTTGTGATCTAAAAATCTAGATAAAGTGCCGGCAGGTTCAGGTAGTGCAGTGTATTTTTGGGTGGTCGGATTACAAACGATGTAACGTTTTTCGTAAACCTTGGAGCACAAGAGTAAGCCGTTACAGGAGCATACAATTCTAGGTGTAGATCCTTCTCCAACACCATTGAGGAAGGCGAGTGTTGGAAGACTTCAGTGGTTGTGAAACGAGACAGAATTAAGTTCCTTGAACATCCAAAGTTCGCAGTAGAAATATATGCCTGAGATCAAGGAATTGTTATTTCGGCGGGTGTGGTTGTGGGAAAATTGTGAGTCAGAGATGAGAGAGAGCCAATGCTTAGATACACACTTGAATCTGAGGAGTGACTTTGCCGGCACATGTAAAACGATCTCTGTTAGAAGATCAACATTGCTGACAACTACTTCTACCGCCAGTGAGTCTTCCAATGATGTGGAGCCAATAACTAGCTTTCTTCTTTTGTTGGATACTTTCTCGGTCATTTTTTCCTATACATAACTGTAGACACCCCATTTTTGACCGACCTTAAGACTCAGACGTCACCAACTGGGCGCTCGGTGATGTTGCATATTGTGCTCGTTTTGAGGTTTTAGAATCTCGGCTGTGAGCCTTGCCTCCGGACTTCGGGGCTCTTTTTTGTGCCTTGCCTCGGTTTGCGAACCAGGTCCTGTTTTCTATGTTTTCTCTTCCTGAAGGGAGGGAGAGGTCTCGTAGATCATCTCTCAGTGGCCGTAGGCTACGTTTCGTAGTCGTAGGCCATTTTTCCCGTTTGAAGCCCGGTTTCCGATTTTCGGAGCCGTTGGCCGTGTACCTCGGTTCGGGACCGCTTAACTACCTTCGTTTACTCTGATTTTTGGCACACATCTTATTTCCTCCCTTTAGAGGAACACTATGGCCCTGGAGACCACCTTCATGGTCATACGCCACTTTCGGTGCCTAACAGCCTATTTTCGGGGCCCCGAACCGCGCGTTTTGGCCCCCGAACCTTCGTTTTGCATCCGTTTTGGTCGCAGTTTTGTAGAGAGCCCTATTTTTTCATACCACCATTGTGTTGTGCTCATCTGGGAGGCCACCAATATGGGTAGGCCAACCACCTTTGGTGCTTGACCCTTTTGACCCCTTGGTCTCCCTCACTTTTGAGCCATAATTTTTAGTTTTCCATACCACCATTGTGTTGCATTTATCTGGGAGGCCATCAATATGGGTAGGCCGGCCAGAAATTCATCTTGACCCTTTTGAACCTTGCTTAAAAGCTAGCTTTTCTCTTTCCTGGGTCACATTTTCTAGTTTTTCTCTAGATAGCTCTGTTTTACTCATCTGGGAGGCCACCTTTCTGGGTAGGCCGACCAGCAATTTTGCTTGAACCTTTTGACCCCTGGTCGGCCGACCAGGGGGAATGGTCGGCCGGCCACTTGAACTGGCCGGCCTGCTTCTTACTTTTTGGCCTCTCTGAATGCTTTACAGCTGTGCCAACTGGGGGGCATTTGGTGCATCCTCCATACACGTGTATGGAGGATCTTTGAAGCTTCTAAGAGAAGCTTTGGCCTCTTTTCTCTATAAGAGAGGTCCTCTTCATATGAGAGGGTTGAACATTTTTGCTTAAAGCTTATAACCTCCCTCCTCTATTGTCACTATTCCAAGCTCCAAAACCCTAATTTTCTTGGTCCATTTGCACTACAATCCTTAGCACCACACCTCCATCATCCATTCCAGCACCTTGGAAGTCATTTGCAGAGGTTGAAAGCTCACCAACTTGGTCCAAAAGCTGCTGGAGGTCGGCTCTTCAAGGGTAAGTGTCTATTTCCCTTAAACTTGCATTTTTTTGCTTCATTACTTAGCTTCACTTGCAAGTATTTTTGGGCTTTGTCATAAATTAGAAAGTGTCATATTTTGAGCTCCTCTTTAACTTTGTTTAAGGGCACTTTGCTATTTGAGCTCGTCTACTTCCCCTTACCCTCTATCCCTCTTTTAGGGCTATTTTTGCATCATACTTTAGTCTTACTTGTGAACATTTTCGAGATTTGTTATAAACTGGGAAAAGCCTTGTTTTGACCTCCTCTTTAAGTTTTCTTGAGGTCACTTTTCTGTTTGGAGTCATCTCCTTCCTTGCATGCTTCATTCCTTCGTATTTAGGGCTATGCATTAGAGTATTTGCATTGCACTTGTTTTGGCCTCTTAGCCACTGAAATCCAGGGGATTTTCAGTGGCTTTTATGAGGTTTTTATCTTTGAAATCATAGAGGGGTGACCCTCTTACCCATCATTTTCTTTACTAGCATCATTGGCTTTCCAAAGGGGCTTTATTTTGCATGCATTGAAGTCACTTTTTGGGCCCAATTTTGTGGGTTTTAAGGTCTGCCTTAGGTCTGTCCAGGGCCCTTTTGATCATATTTTATGTCTATAGTGCATGTGTAGAACAATTCCATTCAAGCCTTTTTGAGGGGGCCTTTCATCGTGTGCTTCCTTGACTAATTTCAAGGCCAATTTTGTGAGTTTTAGGGCTTTCATAACTCATTTCCAGAGTTGGTTTGGTCATGCTAAGTGTCTATCTTATATGTGCTTAACAACCCCTTGAATGGCCTTCCAAAGAAGCCCCTCATTTTTGCATGCTTTGGCTGCATTTCAGTGATTATTTGGGCATATTTTGGCATGTTTTATTCACTGTTTTTGGCTTGTTTGATGAGTTCTCATTTGCTTCATATACATGCCATGTAAACCATGCTGGCTAGCCAATGTTGCATACTATTTTAGTCCATCATGTTAGCATCTTCTGGCCATGCTCTAAACTAGAAATGTGCATGTTTTGGGACTACCTTGGCTCTGTCTTTAGACTTCATAATCAAATAATGCTTGCTTTGTATACTTGTGGTTCAA